CTGGCACTGTAGCTCAAGTAGTAGAGAGCTCCTCTGGAGCTGAAGAGCTCAGGGACAGTGCCCAGGCTCAGAGCTCAAGCCCCATTACTGACAAAAAAAAGTCTCATGGACTTTCCTGCCCAGGCTGGCTTTGAACCATGATCTTCAGATCTGAGCCTCCTGAGTAGCTAGGATTTCAGGTGTGAACCACCGGCATGCAGTACACTTTTATTTTCTAACTGCGAATATATTTGGGTAAGGCTAAGACAAGTATCTATTATTGCCTTGGCTTAGTTTCTTAGCATTTAGTTGATTTGGGGTTAAGAAACTTCTGTAGTTCTGTTTTGTTTTTAGGAATACAATTATTGTAAGGAACAAATTCTACCTTTTTCAAAGACTCTAATCAGACTGCAAATGACAGTTTTAATCTTTATTCTATTTTATTGATTGACACAATATTTGGATATATGAGGTAGGGCATGACGTTTTCATTCATGCATATATTGGTAGTGATCAACTCAGGGTAATTAGCATATCCATCACTTTGACATTCTTGATGGAAAATCTATAGGTGATTCCCATTGTGTCCCCAATATTATATCCTCTCTATTATGTGTGAACTCAAGAATGATAATGTGGTTTACAAGGTGAGTTGTTTACTTCTGGTTTATTTCTTGTATGCGAGAACACAAATACTTTGTGAAGGATAAAGTAGTGACTTAAGCTGGGGTCTAGTGTTTATAAGCCAGAGAGAGCCATCTGCCTCCTATTGATGCATGCTTTATAACTAGCTGCTATACCTGGCTGATTTGAGTATGGGTTTATCACCCAAAAGCAAAACAGTGCTTGTTGAAAATAGGAAAATACAAAGAAGCTTGTGTCAGAGGCATTTTAGCATGGTCCAGTTGTGGGTCTCTTTTACTTCTCTAATTTTTATGTAGCTTAGAAAAGAGATGTGGCAGCTTCATTTTGTAGCCAAGGGGAGGTCTAGGAGAAGCTAATAAACAGGATAGAAATTTAAACTAGGACCATTGTGTTTGCTTTCCTTCCAGTGATAAATTTCCTTAATTAGTTCTCGATATCTATGACAATCAACTCTCCCCCCACCCCCAGTTAACATTTCCTGCTCCACCTCCTGGACAGAAATCAGAAAGGTGGTGGCTGCTCTAATTATTTTTTTTGCGGTGTAAACAGCATGATCCCCATCATCAACAGAAGTCTATTTAAAAAATCTTTTCTAGTTAATTACTCCAGCCCTCGTATACTTGTATGTCATCATGTATGGTATCTCTCTCAACATGTTTTGTTTCCAAGAATCCTGGGGACTAATTTGTCCAAGAGACTAATGGATTATTATTCCTATAATTCAGAGTCATTCCTCATGGTTCTATAGTATCCCGATTTCTCAACGAGACACCCCAACACTCAGTCAATTAGGCTAGGAGATTTTATTGCTGCCCTTTACTATACCAAGACAGTGAAGAACAGCAATAAAGTCCAATAGAGCAGGGTATTTAAAGGCAAGATCTATGGGGGAGAGGGGTACCACTCTCAGGTAGCCAGTGGTAATTTCCAAAGAAGCAAGTTACAGAAGCACAACTAGCAGTTAGTGATTACAAAATGGCGATTATAATTCCAGTCATTCCAATAACCAAGGCCCATAAGTCACAAGGCAAAGTCCTTATCCCAAATCTTCCCATCAAAGAAGCAAGTTAGTGAAATAGCAATTACAGTCTCTAAATGCAAAGTAGTAATTACTCGAAGCAAAAACCACATTCCAAATTTCACAAAATCAAACCACTTTCCAGGTTTTTTTTGTGTGTGTGGAGGGGGGGGGGGCTCTTTCACTGTTATTTACTGATTTCCAGTAACCTGGGGTTTAACTCACCAATTTACTTCAAGCCTTTATCTTTGGAACTTTTCCTTTTAATGACTATCCTGGAGTTGTTCTCTGCAGAGAGATCCCGCCTTTCAAGTTTGGCCCTGTTCTTACTCACTTTGCAAATTTCAGTAAATGCCAGGCCTCAGTTTGTTCTATTCCTAAGGTCTGTACTTATGTTTCTCAGGTTACCTGGGACTTGTTTGTCCCAATTAAATTTCATTTTTCTTGGTCTAATTAATACTCTATTTAACTTGGTTCTAACAGTTCTGCAGTCACATACTGGTCTCACTTGATCGTTTTGCTGCTCTTCTAGGTTTTATTACTGAAGATATAATAGAGCTAGGGTCATTTTACTGTTATTTCCTGAATACATATAGAAGTAAGGAGGTCAGGTCTGGTAGGGGCCATATTGGCCGCATGGTTGATGATGATAGGGTGTGGCACCTTGTCTTCATTTTGGGGAAAGAAAACGCCCCCCCCAGGTGATGGGCGTGCCCAGAACCCTGGAGGTAGGGGTGGGCACTTGGCTGATAGGTTACTGAATCTATCAGTCCGGGAATTTCCTGCGGATCTGCCCCCTGCTCGGACCCTATTTAGGCCCAAACTAGACCAGCCGCCATTTCCCCAAGCCACGTGTGTGTCCGTGTTCATCTCTGGCCTCCTGTCTTCTGGCTCATCTCCGGACATCATGGAGTCCCAAGTCAGCTCTCCATCGGAGCTGAATTGGCTTTGTTGGTATTGTTTTTGTTCTTTCCTTCTCTCTAGCCTGTTTCCTAGCTGTAGTTATGTGTATTTGGGGGCCGCAAGCTTTTATAACAACTGGCTGCTTGCAGCCTGCTAACTGTATAATAAAGACTCCAATATTTCATATTCCAAAATACGGCTTCTGGGATGATTCACCTTACAACAACTCATTCTTTCCAGTAGAGCAAATGCTTTACCCGAGTGGTTGGGACCTACGAAGGTTTCAGATTTAGCAAAGTAAATCAATTTAGTTTATTATTATAATATGATGTACAGAGGAATTACAATCACATGAGTCGGGTAGTAAGTGCATTTCCTTCCATACAATGTCTTCTGTTCTCACTCTATCTGAGCTCCACTATCCTGTCTCCCCCCACAAATTCTATAGTTCACTTTTGCGGGGGAGATTTTAGATGCTGAGAGCTAGAGTTCTCTAGCTCTGGGCAAGCACTCTACCACTGAACCACCTTCCCAGTCCTTGTATAGTTCACTTTTATCAGCGTCCAGTGAGCTCCAGTGCTGCACGTTTTCACCCTTTTTCCCTTGAGTTCTGTACCCTTCCCCTAATCCTCCCAAGTCCATGATTCTTAAGCCTTGGGTTCAGTCTGGAGACTAAGCTTTTGTGGACCTCTCAACTCAAGTCTAAGCTTGAGTTCTAGACAAAAGATAGGTCTTAGGGCTGGGAAGTGGCTTAGTGGTAGAGTGCTTGCTTAGCATGCAGGAAGCCCTGGGTTTGATTCCTCAGCACCACATAAACAGAAAAAAAGCTGGAATTGGTCTTGTGGCTCAAGTGTTAGATGACTAGCCTTGAGCAAAAGAAGGTCAGGGACAGTGCCAGGCCCTGAGTTAAAGTCCCAGAGCTGGCAAAAAAAAGTCTTAAAATTAGTTCATGAATTCTTTTTCCTGTTGCAGATGGATAGATGTAAGCTCAGTGGCTGTAGTTGTGATTTCCAAATTCTTTGAAATGTAGTAAGTGGGTATTTGCAGCAAGTATTCGTCTTTTAAAGTAATTTTGTTGTGTTGTCAAAAGTTTATCTTCTACAATGATACATTGCTTAGATTTTATTCCAGAAGAAAAATTCTTTTCTAAATTATCCAAGATGTAAATTGATAGATTACTTGAACTCAGGGCCTGGGCACTGTCCCTGAGCTTCTTTTGCTCAAGGCTGGCACTCTACCACTTGAGCCACAGTGCCACTTTCTGCTTTCTTTGTTTATGTGGTACTGAAGAATTGAACTCAGGGCTTCATGCATGCTAGTCAAGCACTGTACCACTAAGCCACATTCTCAGTCTCAAGTGTTTACTTTTCAACCATACCATTACTTGTATATTCCAAGTGTTACACAATGTCATGAATTAATATTATCAGAAGCAAATACATCCCAAATTCTCATGTAAATTCAAATTTCCTACCTAAAATGTCATGTATACATTACCAAATGGGTGACTGCTATGAGTAAGATAGAGAAAATTTAAGTCTACGTAAAGAACTGCTGTAAGACATTCTCCATGATGATGGAATTTGTCAAAGGGCCCCAAGTGTTTGAATTTCAAACACTTACACTGATGTTAGATAGCTAGAAATGTTAGATAGCTAGAACAGAAGACTGTCTTGGCTCTTAACAACTCCATTTCCTCTGGCCTCATCTTAAGGAAACAGGAAATAGGTCATGGCTTCTTTATTTCCCATATAAGTAGCCAGCTTGAATTAAGTATGGGCTGGGAGAGTAAATGAGTCAACTTACAGTAAATATTCTTTTTCAAAAAAGAATCATTGTTTTTATTTCACATGATTTTACTGTGACTGTAAAATGAGCAAAGTCTTTTTTAAATTTTTCTGCAAGTTGGAGAAGCTATAGGGTTCATTGTATTTTTAACAAGGAACAACAAAAAGTTTGAAGGAGAGTAGAGGAAAAATGATTTTTTTCTGTTGTGCATTACGTGTTCTACTTGCATAGTCTAATGATTTCAATAATAGTTGCTACAGTTTATCAAAGTTATACTCCAGACACTGTCTACCTCATGTGTTTTAAATATTTCATCTTTACAATGATGCTATGATTATTCATTTTCTTGGTGAGAAATTTAGATGCAGAGAGAAAGAAGTAAAGTAACTTGTCTGAGGCTTTATGGCAACTAAGTGACATAGCCATTCATAGGGCTACTTCAAATGAATCAGAATTCAATTTAATTGCACAAATTGTATCTCAAACATTTCAAAATTCTGGCTATGTAAAAGGTAAATCATAGCCCAGTCTGTTTCAATGTATAAACAACATAGAGACATCTGAGGCTGCTAGTGATTTGCTATGTTTTCATTCAAGAATATTGCAAGAAACCAGCATACAGTATTTGTTTTCTTAAATTCCCATTTCTCTTTCACCTGTTTTGTAGGTGTGGGAAGGCACTACAAAATGAAGTCCAATTGAAGGGTCGTGACCTCCTCACTCTAAAGGACTTCACAGGAGAAGAAATTAAATATCTGCTATGGCTATCTGCCGATCTGAAATTTAGGATAAAACAGAAAGGAGAAGTATGTTACATTTTGTCTTTACCTTCTATTACTACCTGTCAGCCTTTTCCAGAGGCAGTATTTCCCAAGAAAAAGGAAATATATTAAAATTCCTACACAGTAGCTCTGTAATGAAACCTCACAGTCAAGATAATTGATTATCGTTGAATGGACAGGCATATAAAAAAGCATAAAAATCAGTCACTCTGTGACAAGTCATTGCACTTCCTTCATGTGGAATGTTAAAATTCATTATTAACGAGATCAAAACCGAAGGAATCATTTGTCTGGAAAGATTTTCTTTTTATATACCCCTTTGTATATTTTCTATCAAGCTAAAAAATAAGGATGATAAATTTTTTTCCCAGTAAATTTTAGTTCTGGGTGCATATCAGATATAGGATCATTAGAATAATACAACAATTCACAGTGATATGGTGCTTAAAAAAACATTCAGATTAGCAAAGGAACAATAAAATGGTTGCCAATGAGGGGAAGAAATGTGATATGGTGCTTAGCTGTAAGCATTATTCTACATTTTGAGCAATTTATGCTTGAAACAGGCTTAATTAATGCAGCAGCTTCATTTAGACCACTTAATTGTGAAAGCAGTTTTATCTTCCAAGTGTGATCAAATACTTTTCAAAGAGTGGATTCCAGTTTGAGAATATTTGACACAGCCTTGATTTCCTTATCTAGTTGGCTAGGTTCTCCAAGTTCCAAAGAACAGATGGACAGACACTGTAATCCTATTGAACAACTGAAATGAGAAAGAAGTCTCCCTAGATTACATTCTATAAGGTTAGCTGGCAGGAGAACAGAACACCTTCCATCAAGAAGTCCACCAAGGGGCTGGGAAGGTGGTCAGTGGTAGAGTACTTGCCTTGCATACATGAGGCCCTGGATTTGACTCCTCAGTACCTTGGAATTAGCGCTGTGGCTCAAGTGTGAGAGGACTAGCCTTGAGGAACAGACACTCAGGGAATTCAGGGAGAATGCCCAGGCCCAGAATTCAGGCCCCATGACCAACCAAAAAAAAATAAAGTCCACCAAGAGAAAGGAGGAAGAGCCTTACCCACTCAGACTCGCATGGTTTTTATATCATTTCCAGAAACCAAGCCTTTGTACTTTTCCCCATGAGAATGTACGAAGAATGTGAAGCTGTAATACTGAGACTTTATCACTGACTTAAGTAGGAATCTTGTCCCATGTCAACAAACTAGCTTGCTTCTAGCTGAGAAAACACCTCTGAGCCACACAACTTCAAACCATTGAAAATTGAATTAAGGACTTCAGTGCAGTTCAATGAGATAATGGTTCTAGTGTGAACTATTCTGCTTTAGAATAGAATAAGTGCCCAGATTGACCCTGGAATAATTAATATTACTTACTAATTACATGTCAATAAGCTGTGAGAATTACTGTTCCATTTCCGCATTTATATTGAGCATGAAAAAAAAACTTGGCAATTACTGGGGCTTGAACTCAGGAACTTGTGATTGCTAGGCAGTACTCTCCCATTTGAGCCATGCCCCTATCCCTTTTTGCTTCTAGTTGTTTTTCAAGTATTATCTTGTGTTTTTACTGGCCTGGACAAGATTTTCCTATTTATACCTTCTGCATAGCTGGTATGACAGATACACGTCATTGTGTGCACCATTTTTTGTTGAGCTGGAGGTCTCACTAATTTTTTGTCTGGCCTCAAACTGCAGTAGTCATGATATCCTCCTTACAAGATACCAGGATTAAATTTACTTTCTTTGGCAAAACTGGCATTTGAACTTAAGTCCTCATACTTGCTATGCAGATGCTGATCCTCCAGCCCTTTGTGTTCTGGTTATTTTTGAGATAGGGTCTCAGTTTCTTCCTGAATGAATGCCTGGACCATGATCCTTCTTTTTACTGTCAACTGAGATGACAGTGTCACACCTTACCCAGCTTCTTCCATTGAAATAGCATCTTGTAGACTTCCTGTGCTAGCCTTCAAGGGTGATCCTCTTGAGCCTCCCAAGTAGCTGGAATTATAGGCATGAGCCACCAGTACCCAGATTTAAATTAACTTTCAAAATAATATTGTAAGCCCTTAATTCAGAAACAGTGAAGCCAGTACCAGGGCTTTAACTCAGGGTCTGGGCACTATCTCTGAGTTTCTTTTGCTCAAAGCTAGCACTGTACCACTTGAGCTACATCACCACTTCTGGCTTTTTCTGTTAATTAGTACTGAGGAATCAAACCCAGGACTTCATGCATCTAAGGCATCAAGCACACTATCACTAAGCCATATTCCCAGCCCCAGAAGCAGTGATTTATTAGTGTACATTTTCTATAAAGAATGTTTTTTGAAACAGATGTTGCTATTGGATATATAGTATATTTTTCATTTTAACTTAGTTTTGTGCTTAATTTTCAGTATTTGCCTTTGTTGCAAGGGAAGTCCTTAGGCATGATTTTTGAGAAAAGAAGCACTCGAACAAGACTATCCACAGAAACAGGTGAGTAGTTTGAAGAAAGTAATAAGAAATAAAAGAGGGAGAATTGTGAGAAAAACTTTTCTGTTTTTTTTTTTTTTTTTTGGGTCCAGTCGTGGGGCCTGAACTCTGGGCCTGGGCGCTGTCCCTCAGCTCTTCAGCTCAAGGCTAGCGCTCTACCACTTGAGCCACAGAGCCACTTCCGGCTTTTTTTCTTTTTTGCTTATGTGGTGCTGAGGAATCGAACCCAGGGCCTCATGTATGCAAGGCAAGCGCTCTACCACTGAGCCTCCTTCCCAGCACCGAGAGAAACTTTTCTATTAAAGTATGTTTCTCAGAGTTCAGGCCCCACAACTGACAAAAACAACAAAAATCAAAACAAAGTATGTTGCGTAGCCGGGTGCCAGCTCATGCTTGTTTTCTTTTCTTTTTTTTTTTTTTTTTGGGTCGGTCGTGGGTCTTGAACTCTTGGCCTGGGTGCTGTCCCTGCACTCTTCAGCTCAAGGTGAGCTCTACTGCTTGAGCCACAGTGCTACTTCCGGTTTTCTGGTGGTTTATTGGAGATAGGAGTCTCACAGTCTCTCCTGCCCGGGCTGGCTTTGAACCGCGATCCTCAAATCTCAGCCTCCTGAGTAGCTAGGATTACAGGCGTGAGCCACCAATGCCCTGCTATTTATTTATTTTTTATTTTTATTTTTGGTCAGTTGTGGGACCTGAACTCTGGGCGTGGGCGCTGTCCCTCAGCTCTTTCAAGGCTAGCACTCTACCACTTAAGCCACAGCGCCATTTCCAGGTTTTTTCTGCTTATGTGGTGCTGAGGAATCGAAGCCAGGGCCTCATGCATGCAAGGCAAGCAGTCTACCACTGAGCCACCTTTCCAGCCCAACACACAACAGGTTTAGTGTCAAACAAAGCTCCTTCAGTTTTATTTCTTTGGTTTCTTCCCGCTCTCCTTGCTTCCCTTCTATCTAGATCATAGTATTAGAATGCAGGTGATAAAATAGGAGAAAAATGGACTCATGTTCTTCCAAACCTATTGTTTAGTCTAGAATCCTAGACAGCTGAAACTCAAATTTTCTTACTTTTCTCAAGCTATTATCACTGAAATGAGTTTCAAAAAGTCTATTTTGACACTTATAAGCCACAAATTGCCTTTCTTCTTTCTATGTTTCTGCTCTATCAGATCCCCCTTGAATCAATAATATAACTTCCCTAAAGGATAAATCATACAAACCTGTGAAGGAAGTACCACAAACAAAAATATATTGGATTATTCAAATTGTCCTGCCTTCCAACCCTCAATTTTCTAGGTCTTAGAAGCAAACTAGTACTGTATTGCAAGCAATTATTGCCCTGTAATAATCAATAGTGAAATTGATCAAGTAGATAACAAAAATGAAGTTACTGATTTCACTCAATTGACACAAATGGCACTGAGATTCAGATCTCAAGTTCACTATTCATATTAATGCATTCCCTTTACTCCTTGAAAGGAGGCAGGAATAGTGGAAATAGTGTTGCCTAATCATAAAAGTCTTAGGAAGACGACAAATAAGTACATTTGTTCTTTGAAGTGATCATTTTTGTCATCTGACCTACAGAAAAATAAAAAATAAATAAAGCATTCAGAAATCCTTAAATTTTGCTCCTTTGAAACACTGCATGTATATGAGCTGGGTTATATATATATATATATATATATATATATATATATATATATATATATATATATATATATATATATATATATATATATATATATATATATATATATATATACCTGTGCCAAATGCTCTTCATTAATTTTATGCATTTTCTCCCTTAAAGCTCATGGCCACTGAGAAAAAGAGATCTAAGTAGATTCAAGAAATGGCCCCCAAACACATAGTTAGTATATGGCAGTCTCAGGATTACAATCTATTATTAAGTGTATTCTTAATATCTAATTTAAAGCATGTAATGGTCACATTTTATTTGAGTGAAATTGCTTCTACTCATGGTATTAAGCATTTTGTCAAATGCTGATTTTTCTCTAAATAAGTGTTCTGAAACCTGCACAAAATTGCAAACCATAACAAGTCATGAAGAAAGGAATCTTTGGCTCTTAAATCTTACTGTTTGCAGAGTATTTGGTATTATCCTGTGTGAGTACCTGTGTATCTAATGGCATAAGGCATGCTAATAAAGTCAGTAGCTGGAGAATTAGAGCAAGAAGCTGCCTTAAATGCTTACATAAGGTCCACCCTCATCAGAATCATGGCAGAACATTTCTTTGTATATATGTGAATCTCAATAGTTGTTCTTCGGTATAATTTCACCAGAGGTATAATCTTCATTGTTTAGAATTAAAATAGTGTAATCAACTGTCTTTCTGTCCCAGAATAATATCAATCCCTGAGATAAGAGTGATCTCGTTTAAGATTCTTTCCACAGACTGAGATTCAGAGATTCAGCACTATTTCTCATGATCACAGGATATAATGCAAAATGCAAATTCTCCACCCATATACATTGTTTATGTAACATCTTTATTTAGATTTTCCGTGCTTACTAGCAATAGAACTTGAGGCCTCTCACCTGAGCTATATCCCATTCTTTTTGTTTTGTTTTGTTTCTAAGTTTGTTTTTGAGATAGAGTCCTATCTTGAGCTGACCTTGCACTGATTCTTCTTTCTAACCTCCTGAGTAGCTGTAAATACAGAAGACATCATGCCCAGCTATAACACATTTAGTCATGTGTAACACAGTTTCAGAAAACTGCACAAATCACTAAATGTATATTAGCTCAATGAATTCTCATATTAACCATTGCATTTTTAATTAACACCCAGGTAGTGAAAAGAATGTTAGCAGCACCTAGAAGCCCTCCTCTCCAACCTTGTTTTCTTTTTTATCTTTTTTTTTTTTGGTCGGTCATGGGATTTGAACTCAGGTTGGGTGCTGTCCCTGTGCTCTTCAGTTCAAGGTGAGCACTCTACCACTTGAGCCACAGTACCACAAATGGTTTTTCTAGTGGTTTATTGGAGATAAGAGTCTCATGGACTTTCGTGCCAGGGCTGGCTTTGAACTGTGATCCTTAGCTCTTCGCCTCCTGAGTAGCTAGGATTACAGGCATGAGCCATCAATGCCTGGCTTCCAACCTTGTTTTCTCCTTCCAGTTGCTACTTCTCTCATCCAAGGGTAACCATTATCTGGGCTTCTAATGAAAGATTGCTTTCCAAACTTCATATAAATAGAATCATTCAGCATGTGCTATTTTGTGGCTGGCATCTTTTGCTCAGCATTATATTTGTAAGAGGTATTCATGTCACTGTGCGTAGGTCATTAATTCCTCATCCATTCTTCGTATGTCTTCCTGGAAAACCATGCAATTTTTCTGTGTCTACTAGTGAATATATTCTTTTTTTGTGTGTGATCATATTCTTTTATTGCAAGTTAATTGAACTGATAGATGGGTACATTTGTTAATCTCAGTAAATGCAGTAGCCGATAGGAAATTACACAGGGCATTCCAAGAGAGGATTCTCTTCATTATTTAACAGTGGTATTTCAAGGTGAAATAGCAGTGAGTACTTTAGCAGGTGTTTCAAATTCATTATCTTTACAAAAATGTCAATATAAAAATTGTGATTGTATTTTGCAACTATGAAAGCCAAATACAGGGATGTTAATGACTATCTTACTTCTACCAGTAAGAGCCTTCAGATGTCTCACATTTAAAATGAATGAATCATTTGAACCCTTTCTTCCAAAGCCAGAAGGAATCTGTGAGAAAAGGAAAAACAAAATGGTATTTGCTTTTATTGCCTGAAACAGAAGTGGAGAAATTAACATAAATCTATCAGTCAAAAGTAAATGGTGTGGGATGGGAATGTGGCTTAGTGGTAGAGTGCTTGCCTAGCCTAAATGAAGCCCTGGGTTCAATTCCTAAAAACCACATAAACAGAATAAAAAGCCAGAAGTGGCGCTGTGGCTGATGTGATAGAGTGCTAGCCTTGAGCAAAAGAAGCTCAGAGACAGTGCCCAGGCCCTGAGTAGTTCAAGCCCCAGGATTGTCAAACAAACAGATTACTCCTGAGGAAGGATGGAAAGTGGAGACCTGTCCTTCTGTCTTCTCTTCAGCCATGGCAGCTCTTGATGGTTTTACAGAACCTCCAAACCCACACAAAGCATCTTGTTACTCAAGACTTGGGCTTGAACTTAGGGCCTGGGTGTTATCCCTGAACTTTTTCACTCAAGGCTTGTGCTCTACCACTTAAGCCACAGCTTTGCTTCTAGCTTTTTTTACTGTTTTGCCTACTTGGACTCACTTCAAAGCATGATCCTTGGATCTCAGCCCCCCGAGTAGCTAGGATTTACAGGAATGTACCACCAGTGCCCAGGTTGAACTATGCTTTTGAACTGGTGTGTGATGCTTCTTTTTGAGTAGCTATTTCTTCTCAGAAGCAATATCCTCCATTTGCTTTTTGTTGTTGTCGGTTGTGGGGTCTGAACTCTTTGGCCTGGGCATTGTCCCCCAGCTCTTCAGCTATAGACCAGTGCTCTACCATTTAAGCCACAGCACCACTTCTGGCTTTTTTCTGCTTATGTGGTGCTGAGGAATCGAACCCAGGTCCTCATGCATGCAAGGCAATCCCTCTACCACTGAGCCACCTTCCCAGCGCCCATTTACTTATTTTTGTGAGTTGCTGAAGTTTCTGACTCCTACATGTAAATGTTTTTTGACTCTTCCTACCTCCATTTCATCCTAGTTCAATGTCAATCTATAGCACATGGAGGGAATGAAAGTGATTGAAAAACTAGCAGATGAGCAAAATAAGGAGTCAAGTGATATCAACAGATCAGAACAGGCTTTAATCAGCACTGCAGAGGGACTCCAAGTACCACTGAGGAGCATGGGGGTTTTAGGGTTTAACTATAGTCTGAGTTTTGGATTTGTAGTGTCCTTGTAGTTGTAGCAAAAGGTCTTATTTTGGGTTTGTGATGTCCTTGCAGTTGAGGCAGAGGGTCCTATACCTTTAGGT